ACCCAGCAGAAGAGAAGAAATAACAAAAATCAGAGCAGAAATTAATGAAATAGAAACAAAGAAAACAATACAAAGAATCAATGAATCTTAAGATCTGGTTCTTTGAAAAGCTAAACAAAATAGACAGAACCCTAGCCCAGTTAACCAAAACAAAGAGCAAATCCAAATCAACAAAATCAGAGATGAAAGGGGAAACACCACAACAGACATCCAAAAGAACCAGACCATTATAAGGGAATATTTTAAAAACCTATACTCTACTAAATTTGAAAATTTAAAAGAAATGGATAGGTATCTAAAATCATGGGAACCACCAAAGTTAAACCAACAAGCTATCAACAGTTTAAACACACCCATAACATAAAAGGAAATCGAAACAGTAATATAAAGCCTACCAACTAAAAAAAGCCCAGGACCAGATGGATTTAGAGCAGAATTCTACCAGACATTTAAAGAAGACCTCCAACCAATACTACTTAAATTATTCAATAGAAACAGAGGGAAAACTCCCAAATTCCTTCTATGGAGTCAGCATCATTCTAATACCAAAACCAGGTAAAGACACAACTAAGAAAGAAAACTATACACCCATATGCTTAATGAACATAGAAGAAAAAATTCTCAGCAAAATACTTGCAAAAGGCATACACGTGTACATCAAAAAGATCATTCACCATGATCAAACAGGCTTTATTCCAGAGATGCAGGGATGGTTCAATATATGCAAGTCAATAAGCATCATCAATTATATACATGGACTCAAAGACAAGAACAAAATGGTCATCTCAATAGATGCAGAGAAGGCCTCTGACAAAATTCAGCATGCATTTATGTTTAAAGTCCTAGAGAAAATTGGACTGGAGGGAACATACCTCAACATAATTAAAGCTATATACAACAAACCCAGCCAATATCATTCTGAATGGAGAGAAACTGGAAGCATTACCATTAAAATCAGGAACCAGACAAGGATGTTCACTATCTCCTCTTCTTTTCATTATACTGTTTGAAACTCTGGATAGAGCAGTAAGACAGGAGAAGGAAATTAAAAGAGTACTAATTGGAAAAGATATTATATTATACCTAAGCGATCCCAAAAGTTCCACCAGAAAACTTTTAGAACTGACCAACACTTTCAGTATAGCAGCAGGTTATAAAAATAAATCTACAAAAATTAGTAGCCTTCCTATATACCAATAACAAGGAACTGGAGAAAGAGTACAGGGAAATGCTCCCCTTCACAGCAGCCGCAAAAAAATAGTAAACTATTTTGGTATAAACCTGACCAAAGACACCAAGATCTCTACAATGAAAATTTTAAATCGTTAAAGAAAGAGATTGAAGAAGACACCAGGAGATGGAAGGACCTCCCATGTTTATGGATTGGAAGAATTAATATTGTGAAAATGACCATTCTACCAAAAGCAATATATAGAGTCAATGTAATCCCAATCAAAATCCCCATGACATAATTCACAGAATTTAAAAAACCATCGAAAAATTCGTATGATAGCACAAAAGACCCCAGATAGCCAAAGCAACCCTGAGCACAAAGAGCAACACTGGGGGGATTACTATACCAGATCTCAAAGTATACTACAGAGCTACAGTCACAAAAACAGAGTGGTACTAACACAAAAATAGACATACAGATCAATGAAAGATTGACGACCCAAATCTGGGTACATGTAATTTCAGCCATTTGATATTT